ACTGTTATGTTTCTTATATTATCATCTTGGAGCTTCTGAGAGATGTGTGACCTACTCATGATCATCTTGAGACATTCTGGCTTGTCTTGGAGGAGGGGTTCGGACTCGACCGTGGTGCTGAGGTACGAGCGCGTGATGAGGGGGTAGCGGATAAGGGACATGACCTCCACAGTGTGCTCCTCACGAGACTTACTCTTCAGCCAGGTGATGGCAGCATCATACACCTTTGAAAAATGCACAGAAATGTTAAAGAGTTAGAACCAGATCTAGAGTTCAGCTAGCCTGAAATTTTTATCCAATATCTCAGTTTGTTTGACATAACGTCAGGTCACATGCCCGTAGCCGAGGGGGGGTTCGGGGGTTCGGAACGAACCCCCCACAAGGCTCAAAGGTCCACTTTTGGTCCACTTTTTATGTAAAGGTCCACTTTTTGGTCCACTTTTTATGTAAAGGTGCAAGATTTTACTTGAAAAGATGGACTATAATAGTAGAAAAACTGCTCCCTTGGTCATTGAATAAAAATGTCCCTCTGATTTTTTTCTTGGAAATCCCCTCAAAAATGCACGAAATGCCATTTTAGAAGGTTCATTTTTCAAAATTTTCCGGGGGAGCATGCCCCCAGACCCCCTAGGAACCTCGCGCCTACGGCGCTCGCTGGTCCCCTCAAGCAGTGGGAAGAACCCCCCCCCCATTCAAAATCCTGGCTACGGGCATGTCTTGTCGTGACTTTTCGGCCAGCCCTCCCTATCCTCCATAGCCCTGAGCAGGTCTTCCGGTCTGCAGCCCGCATCCTCACACAGTTGGTGTATGTAGGTTGTGCAGGGTCTGCCTACACTATACTAGCATGCCCATGTTTTCGGGCCCAGAGAAGGACGTCACTAATAATTTCTTCGAATTCCTTATGAATAACCAGCAAAACGAAGTCTCCTCTCACGGATGACTTGAGATAGTGGGGGGGGGGGGTTCAGTTTAACTATAAAAAAAAGATTAGATTGATGAGACGTTTTACACTGCAAAAACACAAATGCTCTTACGCCTTTCCTATATGACAAGGCACAAGGATTGAAACTGATTTTTGTTTTATAGCGAACTCCTTCCAGTGGTCTTCCAGTGAACCTGCCGAACCGTGTGACCTGTGTGTTCTCCTGGACAGCTCCGACAACTATCTGGGAAAGACGGCACCGTGCACGGAGCAGCACAACTACGTCTGTCAGGACGGTAAGGCAGTTGCAACCATGGCTTATTGTCATTGAAAACTGGCACAAAGCAACTTGAATCGTATTTCTATATCATTTACGGGTGTTAACATACACCAACCCATAAAAGTAACAGAATGATAGCTCACGTTACAGACAATACATCAGAGTCAGAATAAAAGGTTTTGATTTTATGTACGCTACACTACCACGTAAACAAATACTAAATCAAGTTTTGTAGGCAATGCAGGGTAACCAGTATCACACACTCAAATTAATGAGAAATATCTAAAATAGTGCTGGGAATGCTCCGATCGTAAGTCATTATAATCAATGAAAGCAAAAAAAGCTATTAGTAGTCAGGCAGGGAAAATAAACACTAAGTTCAAAATACAATTGCACACTCACAGCTCTGAAACCATGTGAGCCGAACGTGTGTCAGAACGGCGGAAACTGCACCTCCTGCTTTGCCGAGGCCACCACCTACTGCGACTGCCTTGCCGGCTTCGAGGGAAAATTCTGTGAAATCAGTGAGTACTACATTTCGTCTACATGATCTCATTTTTCGGCAGTTTAGCATTTCTGAAGCATGCTCTTGAAACACAAAATATAATGCCTAAATCCCAATGTACTTGCTTGAAGAGGTTGTAGTCAACCGGTATGAATTGAATACTTAAAACATCAAATCAGTCTTATAAGCCCCAGATACGGGCTTATTTACATTTATAGAATTCTTAATTCTATGCGTTTCTAACATATTGGTTCCAACTGATGTATAATGTTTCTAAAGAGCGTCTAAATTTAACACAAATTAAAGTTGAAACGTGTTTTTTTATCCAGACATCGACGAATGCGCCTCCAATCCGTGCCAAAATGGCGGAATTTGCAACGATGGCGTCAATTCCTACAGCTGCAGCTGTCTCACTGGATTCCAGGGTGTCCACTGTGAAACAGGTTTGTGCAGCTAATATAATTCCTTTAACTCTTTATTTAACTCAAACCTCAAAGCAAATTGCATTTTCTGAATCCATTAGAGATTTACCTGGCTTATTATAAATCATAGCTTGGGGTCGTGTGGCGTAGCGGCAGCGTGCTCGACTCGGAACCAAGAGGTCCCGAGTTCGAGTCCTGACATGCCACCGATCTTGTGCTGGTGGGAAGGCACTTTACACGACTTTCCTCACTTCGCTCAGGTGAAAACGAGTATTGTACTGTCCCCTATGTTGGTGGCGGCATTAACATAAGCGTGTGGCGTCGGTGGCGCAACGGTTAGAGCGTTGGACTCGGAACCGAGAGGTCCCGGGTTCAATACTCATCGTGGCCCGACGTTGTGCCCTTGGGAAGGGCACTTTACACGACTTCCCCACCTATACGGTGGAGTGACGCCCACCGAGCCTCTTAGGCTAATTTGTCTGTGTGCCAAAAACACCTTACGGATTTGGTGCGTCGATGTGACAACATCTCATATTGGCCACTGAGAGCCGTAAAAAAAATTAACATAAGTTGTGATTACATGTTGGTTTATTTTAAAAGATGATAGCTTTGTGTGCCTCTGTCTAGACCCTGGCTGGTGCTCCCAGGTCCAGTGTCCGTATGATTGGATCTGCGAGGATCACGTCTTCTACTTCCTCTGCACTGGTAAGTACGCCTTTCGTTAGAACATGGCTGGAGCTATCTTACGTCATTTTGCCTACCTAAAACCCATTTATCTAATCACCAAAAGTGAACTAAAACATTCAACCTTCCGAGGATAACGTATTGAATTTAAGTACTCATTAACGATCAGTGTAGTTAAACAAGGGCTGAATTCACGACAAAATTCAATGTCGAAATCATTACTACATACATTTGCGATAATCCATTAATAGAATCCAGATAATACACGATAAAAACATTTGTATCTTTAAGCCTCATGATGCCACCACTGTTCTGGTATAAGGTGTGATAGACAAGGCATGGTATCTTCCAGACATGTCTAATTACAACTTGTAAATTTTACGTGCACATCTAGATCCATCGCCTGCCAACCGGGCCATTCCTTACGAGTGCAACAGCGCCTCCTGTCCGGACGGCATGTACTGCACCGAGGAGGGCGTGGCGTCCTTCTCCTGCAAGGCTGTGTGACGTCACAGTGAATCTCGCGCCAGACGCTAAACTGCCTGCCTGGTTACCACAGTTCGAGGCCATCCTCGATGCTGGTTAGGATTAAAGAAACCGCGCGCAGCAAAATTCGGTGTCATGTGCATTCATTCATTTTCTCTATCTATCGCTATCTACCATGACTAGAAAGGTAACATTCACAAAGCAAATGCATAATGTTTACCTTCACACATGGTCTGCTCTGTTAATTCTTACTCAGATACATATAGAATACAACACGGGGTATTCCGTATCGCCCGAGGTATCGGCCCGACCGCGCGTCGGATCGCCCGAAGGCCGGAGGGAGATCCGATCCGCGGGAGGGCTGGGACCGAGAGTGATGCGGAATACACCGTGTTATGGTCAGACAGGAGTATAAATCCCTCCTGCTATAAAATTGCAACATCATGTAACCCAACACCAGTTACCATGGTGACAGACGTCAACAAATCAGGTCATTGGCCAGGTCAGAATTTAGTGTTTGGAGAAGAAGAAGAGGAAGAGGAAACTTAGCAAAAACAATATGTTTTCCTTCGGTAAACATAATTAGTTGAATGAAAGGCCAAGCTATGAGGGTAAATATATTGTGTTACGTGAATGCTATTGCCACTTTATATCTGGACACATGATTACGTTATTAAAGATCTTATGACACCAAAAGTCAAATTTTCGTATCAGCAACAAACAAACATAGTCAATATTATTCAATGAACACCACATGCACAAAGCAGTGACGGTATTGAACATCGAAGAATTAAAAAATAAAAGAAGATAAAACTACTTCCAGCACAGATCAGTACTTATTCACTAGATTCACTACCCTCTACCAGGCTTCGGGAGGCGGCTGAAAAGAGTAGAAATCGGTCAAATAGAGAGATAGCATGCCGGGGGAGTTGGTCCGCTAGAGAGTACAGTTTGCTGCACGCGAACTAGCGGACCAGCTCCCCTGGCATGCTATCTCTCTATTTGACAAATTTCTACTCCTGCCAGCCGCCTCCCGAAGCCTGATGGAGGCTACTTACTCACTCCACCAGATAACAGGGTTTAAAGGCGACCGGTGACGTCACAGTGAACAAGGCAGCCGATTCGGAACCTGACTTCAGAGATATCTTTTGAGAAACAAACAGCGCATAATTATCGATATTACATGCAATTGCAAGACTCAATAATATATTTTTTTTGTTTGCTTCATCCATTTCAATCTTCTCCCTGCTGCCTAACCCTGTAACCAGTAGAGAATTGTGGATTTGGAAGTCAAACGGCTACTTCAGTGTGCTAAAGGTTAACCTTCTCCCTGCTGCCTAACCCTGTAACCAATAGAGAATCGGCAGCCAACCAGCTACTTCAGTGTGCTAAAGGTTAACCTCCATGCTACCTAACCCTGTGACCGATAGAACGTTGGGTTAGTGAATAATACGCACTCACTTTAGTTAATGTTTTGGATCATATATTTATTTGTTATTAGCCAATCTACAATGTATGCCTCCATGTCGATGTTAACTTTCATTGCATATATTTAGAGCAAATAGCCCGGAATCATGTTTTTTAATTACTTTATTATAGATATAGCCGACCTTTTCCCCCCGTCTCAAAATAATGGACCATTCCAATCTAGAAGGCCTGTACAATATTACTATTAAGTATTGCAGTATTATATCTTATTATTATTGCATCTTTCAATATTCAATCGTAAGTTTTCATCAAGAACAAAATACGGAAAACTAAAATAAAACGACAAAAATGGTTCTTTTTATTATTTTACTAGGTCTACAATTTCTCTATTAGTAATTAAACGCTGTAGTATTTGTAGGTTATTGCTGCTGTGAGAAGTTACCCACCTGTAACCTTGAGTCCTAGCGCCAAGAGACTAGGTCTGGGCGGAAACGGGCCTATTTGTACCCAGACAACTGTTGTAGCGGCTGCCGTATAACACCATGGGTCTACCGGCGGTCCTGGGGATTCTTCTTCTGCAGTCTTTTCTGATTGCCTGCCAAGGTGAGTTTCTTAAACAACGATTGTTTCAAGATGTTGACTTTTGTATCCAAAACCGTCTTTTATTATCCAGAAACATGCTTGGGCACGGATTTGGATAGTCCAAGCGTACATGTATACTGAACCGTGCCTGGGGCATATCTATGCTCTTGGATACGTGGAGACTATCCAGAACCGTACCTGATCCTGACCCTAGCTATATATAGCCCATTCAGGCATGGAAATAGATAGCCACGGCTCTTCATACGATTTAGACGTAGTTTTCGTAAAGTGATGTAGCGATTGTCAACTCTACCTTTTGGCCAAAAGCTGAAATTTTGATTAATACATGACTGTTATGCCCCCTTCCCCTCATCGCCAGTGGTATGGCGGTGTAATACGTTAACCACTGTCCACTTGTCGTGTTGAAATGTCTTTTATGAGAGACGCAAAACCTGCAAGTACGGTAGATGAGTGAGACGCTGTAGCGCAATGTGAAGTGGATAGACATATCGAAGTATCTGTCATTCCCTGTCGACATGTCCAACAGGGTAATCTATCATTTACCATATGTTAAGTACGCTAGATATAGATGAAACGCCTGAAACCAGCCAAAAACTTATACACCTAATCTAATCTTATACACCTTTTTAGACAGATCCCCAGGTCGGTAGGTTTCCAGATAGTCTCACGAAAAAATGGATTGCAACTCATCGCAGCAATATAAAGAGATTTTGCAACGTTCCCCGTTATCACATGCTTACATTGTACACCTTTTTATCGTATCCTATATGTGCATATGACGAATATCCAATATGTACATATGACGAATATCCAATATGTACATATGGTGCGAGTAATACAAACGTTAAGGAACAACTTATAGAATTTTTCGTAAGGCGTAATCAGGCCGTTTTAGACTTCGTAATTCGTAGGCAGCCTCCGCAAAAATCAACGTAATTCGTAATTGTACATTAGCCGCAAATCGTAAAGTCGTAATCAGCTCTGAAACTTTAACGTAATTTGTAATCGGCGGCAAAAATTTTGCGTAATTCGTAATCACTTCCCCCCTTGCAGGCCCTCTTTTTTAAAAATATCAAACCATGTTATAGGTAATATTTTAGTATAATTCTAGATAGAAAAAGATTGTAAATTTAGAATATCAAAGGGACATACACATGTTAAACATTTCGTACACCGTGTGTGTGTACACGTGTTTTGTGTGTATCACGTATCTGTTTATCGTCTGGGGATACTTACTGTGTATATAAGGGTCAGAAAGTAACAAACAGTTGTCTGATTGTACATTGTAAGTTAGTATTACTTCATGTCCCTAATATATAAAGTTAGAATCCCTAGATGTTATACTTCAACAGTGTGTCACAATACGTTATTACCTGTTGGGCACGGTATCCTACGATCAACCATATTGTGCACGCTTCTTAAGACACAACTCTCTCCCTCCAGGTGAGTTGGTGTACCTGACCACATGGGATGGGTGGAGTTTTTATAAGGTCAAGGCCGTCGGACCTATGACTAACACCAACGTCAAGGCCACGTGCGAAGGTATTTATTTATTTATCTATTTGCTATTTTTATTATTTATTAATGCGCGTGTGTCCGTGTGTGTGTCCGTGTGTGTGTCCGTGTGCGAGTGTGTGTGTGTGTGTGTGTGTTTGTGTGTGTGTGTGTGTGTGTGTGTGTGTGTGTGTGTGTGTGTAGCAAACATGATATATGTTGATTGTAAACCCTGCATCAATTCAACGCTATAAAGGCTGCGATTGCGCGGGTAATGTTTGACCAAGTACAGTAGGGACATTGTCATTAGATAGCTTTAAACAATGTCTAGTGTTAGAAGTTCAAGGTTTAGGTGTAACAAGTCGACCGGTGTAATATAGCCAGCTGCCGCCGGCGGTTATACCGGCTATACAGATACAGGCAGATTCACTGATACAGACCAATAAACCATTGACCAAATCCCTCCTTTTTGAAGGCGCGGGGATGCGGTACCCGTGCTTCTACACCGGGCACGGGCGGTGCACGCAGTGGTACACCTCGGACTGCATCGCGTTCAACCACGACGACCTGGACTGCCGCACGCCGCTGGTTCTGTCAGCTAAACTGTGCTTCACCATGTTCCCACACAACTGCCAGGTCACTGACTTTCCTCTTATCCTTTGTTTTTAATGATTCGGGGGGTCGGGGGGATGGGAAGGGAAAGATAGGGTTAAGAATGTCATTGTTTACTCTAGTGTAAGGGCAGAAGACAAACTAAACACAGACACAACCCTACACAACTGCGAGGTAATTACGGCCATTCTCCTTCGTCTTTAAAAACACACACGTACGCATGCACACACAGACACGCACACACACACACAAACAGACACACACACATTCCTAGTAATAGTCTACTGATATTTGTCTAATAGCGTAATAATATTTGTCTAGTGTGGGCTACTAGTCAGTAACCCTTCGCGGCCTGACGACACTTTGCATGTGTACACGACTGTACCGTAGTGAATACATGTTTTATAACTCTAAATGTATCCCGTTCTAACCCCAGTGGCTTGACGGCGCTTTACATGTGTACATGTACACGAATGTACCGTAGTGAACAGTAATACATGTTTTATGACTCTATATGCATCCCGCTCTAACCCCCAGTGGCTTGACGACGCTTTACATGTGTACATGTACACGAATGTACCGTAGTGAACAGTAATACATGTTTTATGACTCTATGTGCATCCTGCTCTAACCCCCAGCGGCTTGATGACGCGTTCTTCTACATGCCACGGTTGGTCACGGCGACGACACGTCCTGGGGAGTGGACTACGACTCGACCAGCTGGGCTCTCCTGGGGGCGCACTACAGCGACAAGTACGCCCTGTGTGCAGGTAAGGACCCGGTAACGTACGTAACACTAGTACATGTACATGTGTGCAGCACAAGTACGCCCTGTGTGCAGGTAAGGACCCGGTAACGTACGGAACACTAGTACATGTACATGTGTGCAGCACAAGTACGCCCTGTGTGCAGGTAAGGACCCGGTAACGTACGTAACACTAGTACATGTACATGGTGTGCAGCACAAGTACGCCCTG